TGATTAAGGCTCTTTCTCTGCTACATATTGATTTGCAGAGTGCATCAGGCAACAGACCTAGTACAGGAGAAAAGGAACCACACTATGGAAATACTTGTCTTCTGCTTTCTTTCTTTTTTTTTTTTTTTTTTAGAGGTGGGGTCTCACTTCATTGCCCAGGCTGGAGTGCGGTGGTGCAATCACAGCCCACTATAGCCTCGACCTCCTAACTCAAGAGGTCCTTCTACCTTAGTCTCCCGAGTAGTTGGGACTATAGGTGAATACCACCAAGCCAGGCTTGCTTTTTATTTTTTGTAGTAGCAGGGTCTTGCTATGTTGCCAGGCTGGTCTTAAACTCCTGGGCTCAAGCAATCCTCCCACCTTGGCCTTCCAAAGTGCTGTGATTACAGGCATAAGCCACCATATCCAGCTGAATACTTTTATTTCTAAACCTAAAGTAGCATGCAGCACTGGAATTCTGGAAGCCCTCAAGCTCGATTATAGACCCCGGTCAGCCACTGCCCTTCCATCACTCTTCCTTAGTGACACATGAGGGCTGCTGGCCCTGGGCTGCGGAGAGGGCCATGTCCTGTGTTTGCTGCCTCTGTCCCTTTCCACCACTGCTGCTCTGTGGTTATAGAGACAAGTGTCATTTCAGGGCCCCTGACACTGAGCCTTCACCCTCTTCCCCTTGCTGTGCTCCTGCCTCACGCTCACATGTGGTGCCCTCGCCCGATCTGAGCCCTACTTCCTGCCCCATCCTCCTCTTTCCCACAGACACTTCCTCCCATTTCACCCCGCAAAGAGGCCTTCCTGCCTCTAGACTCTTTAAGGCCTCTCTGGTGTCCTCTCTGCTGCCTCTTTTGTTTTTCCTTAGGCTGTTAAGCCAAGTTTAGCCTCCTGCTGCGGCCTTCCTATTTAAGTTCCGCCTAAAGGTTTCTCTGTAAGTCGGGAGCACTAACAAGCAGAGGTGTAAGCAGACCGTAGCCTGCACCTGTGCCAATCCCTGAGTTTTAGCCAATCAAGTGTAGCCAATCGCTCGGACCGAAAATAAGGCAAAGGCTGAGCGGTGACCAATCCATGCGCCTCCCTACCTCACTTCCCCTTTCTGCTCATCACTCACTTTTCTGTCCATAAATCGGCTTCCACCACGTGGCTGGAGTCTCTCCGCCTACCCTGGCTTCGCTCAATTCAAATCCTCTACATTTAATTTGGCTGAAGTTTTTCTTTGATCAATGCCATTCACCATAATTTGCAATTCATCCAGTCAGTGACTATTTCTGGAAAGCTAAGGCTGTGCCAGGCTCCGTGCCCAGGGCTGGGGTAGGCCAGGGGTGCCCTCCGAGAATTTGTTATTCAGACCCCATATTAGAGAAAGTTGGTGAAGAAGCAAAAGTGGTCAGACTGCTTTGAAACTATTTGCCACAGAGGCTCTGCTTCCAGGCTGCACTCACGGAACACCTGCCCTGTTCAGCGTGGGCATCTCCCTGCCTCTGACCATTGTGCCCACATGCTTGGCAATCAGTTCTTCTGATTACCAAATTTTCCACAACACAATAAATGTAACACCAATGGGTGGCAAAGGGAAAGCTTTACTTTTGCAAATGCTGTAAGGTTGCATGGAAGAGCTGGATGTTATGTTGGCGGCCTGCTAATTCGTGTTCTGTTTTAAAAAAAAAAAAAAAAAGAAAGAAAAAAAATTATACACAAAGCTACTGACAAAGGGAGTCCTGGAAAAATGAGGCCGAGTAACAATAGTGCAGGAGACAGAGTCAACAAACCCGTCCTTTGTTTCCTTACTTAGCGGGATAAAAGAAAAAAAACCAGAAACGAAGTCGCCTTGAAAAAACTAGTAATTTAATTCAAAGGACGGTGAGGAACTCTTGGGAAAATGAAAGGTCACACGTGTTTGTGTAAAAATGACATCCTTGCTGAACACGTGACGTATTAGGTGAAACAGGAAGTGAGAATGCTGCATTCTTCTCTCGTAACGCAGAGTCAGAAAAAGTGTAAGACCTCTCTACGGCCGCCATTAATGCTCACTTACTGTCACGGTATTTGCAATTTTGCCTAATTTGCCTTTTTAAAATACAAGGTAAAATGGACCAATGTTCATAATTTTAAATTGAATTGATCAAGACAGACCCTAAATCAAACCCTACTTCTCACTGTTGACTCTGTATTTTGGTTCTGATTTGACAGGATGTGACCGTTTATCTCCTGATAAGGAGAACTTCCTGCTGTGTTAATTTGCCTAATTACCTTTGTGCTGACCTTCCCCTCCCGGAAATGCGAGGTCTGTGAAGGCACCGTCCTCTCAGTCAGGGTCCCAGCAGGAAACAGATGGCCTCTCAGCAAAGGAGAGGTCAGGGGCCCTCGTGTTGGAACCCTGTGGACAGGTGGCAAACTGCCTTCAGTCCGGTACCGGGCACTTAGCCATGAGACAGGTTTCTTCTTAGCAAACCCGGGCTTTTCCCACCTATGCCAAGCAGCACTTAGTAGGCCTCTGTCTCGTGTCGGGATGCCTGTGACCCAGGACCCACTGACATACACAATGGGTCGAAATGCTGCGATCCCTTCCTCCCTGGGGCACTGAGGCCTGCTTTGCCTCTGACGGTAACAGCCACCCCTGCTCTGGTCCTTAGAGCAGCGTCACCTCCAGCCCGCAGGAACCCAGAGGACCAGGACGGCCACAGGGCTGGGAAGGACTCACCAACGCGTTTCCTCCCCTCTCCCGGCCTCTTGGAGAGAGGAATATTAGGGAGGGTCTGAGCCAGTCCCCACTTTCTACATTTCTATTGCCTTGAGCTTTTGAGCTCAGTTCTCCGTAGTGTGCCAGGATTTCAAGCTTTTTGATCTCATTAACTTTGTCCAATTAGCCAACCTGGAGGATTATTAACCACTTCCTCAGGGTTTGAGCCAACATATTAAACCCTGAAACCCAGCCTAATCCAGGCTCACTCTGTCCCATGTGAAGCAGGCCCTGTCAGACGCCACGCTCGCTCCAGGCTCCTGAGATACCTGCTAGAGCAGACCTGCAGCTCTGTGTGGAGGCGATCTCCTCCCAGGGAGGTCTTGGGCCTCCTCACCCTGCCTCTGCTGCTCTCAGCTGCTTCTGGGACTGGAGACAATGGGAGGTGTGGGGTGGGTGCTGGGGACTGGCAGCAGCTCAGGAGGCAGCTCCCCCAGGTGCAGTCATTGCAAGTCTTTTTAACAGAGGAGTGTTGGGTTCCATCGGGGAGGGGAGGCAAAAGGAGGAAATGGGGCAAAACAGAGGGGAAGGCAAAGGAAGAGAGAAGAGGGGAGAAAGAGAAGGGAGAGCAAAGGGGAGCCACGTCTGTAGACAATGGGGGTTCAGGGGAATTGGCAGGGAAACAATGGTTTCAATACTGACTGAGTGGTTAAGTCAAATATTAAAAGCTAAAAAAAGCCGGTGCTCTTATACAAAGGCCGAAATGTAACTCGAGCCCACCAAGAGTTTGCATTGGCCTTTCCTGGGCCTTAAAGCATGACAGAATAATGAAAAAATTAGTAAAAGAACCCATTTAGGATCGAACTAGTTTTATCAGGGTCTAAAAAAAAACTCCCCGGGCCTCCACAAACAAGTTTATTGGAGGTCTGAAGGAACTCCCCAGACCTCCGTGATTTAGCAGGAGGTGAGATACGGGCCATCACCCCAGCACCTGGACCCATTTAGAATAAGTACATTTACTGAGGCTCCAGAGGAAGGTCTTCAGGACTCAGACCTTAGTTATAGATGGAAATAAGTTAATTGCTTATGCCTTTGGATGAATGCACACTTACATGTCGACATACAGCTTAGAAGGTATGTAAGCTCTGGAAAACTGTAATTTTGAGTTGGTCTGGTGATAATTTCCAGGCCTTCTTCCTGTAGCTGGTTACAGAAACAAAAACTCTCCTCCTCCCTGGTTCATCTGCAGCTCATTACTGGGCCACAAGAAATAGCAGCCCGACCCTCGGCTTGGTCTGGGAACAAGAGTACACTGCACTCCTGGATTTTACTGCCTTTTGCAAATGCAATAAAAATGAAAGCTCACAAATTAGGATCTTGGACAAGTTAGAGGCTATTTAACATCACAAAGAGTGTATAACACTAATATAACTAGGCTCTGTTAGTTTTATTTCCACAATAAGAACAACTACAGAATAATACACGACTAAACCCAAGGGATTATTTTATTCACTTTTAATATGACCACAACTTGTGGAATGGGGACTCTGATCAAACACTGTGCTTGGAGCCAAGCTTGGGCAGGAGTGGGGTGGCCAGGTGGAAGGAGCATGGAGCAGTGAACTCAGCCTGCATCCCTGCAGCATCGTGGCAAGGTATATATGTGAGTGAATCATAATACAGCACAGAACGAAGGGAGGTGTGTGGAAGAGAGACTGGAAAGGGGGCTGGGGGCCAAGGGAGGAACCAACCTGAGCTCTTGTAATTACAACCCTGGACTTCCTGTGCCATTTCAGAATCCTGCAATTCAGGCTCCTGCAATGTGGGAACCTAGTAACAGTGTCCCGTCTAACAAATGCCCCAAAATGTAGACAACTCAGAAATTAACAAAGTCATGCAAATACTGCAACCATCGTAAATATACATGTAAAGTGTTCTATCGATTGCCATCTGCTATGGGTTCAGGGAACACTGGCCTCTCCGTGCCTCACCAGGTGGGTGTGACAAAAGCTGACCCTCCTCGGGGCCCTCGGGAAGCCCTTGGGCTTATCTCCCAATTTAATTGAAAAATTAAAAACATTATATATCAACTTTGATGAAGTATATTTTGTAGATAGTAAAACACCCATTTTAGGTGAACAGTTCAATGAGTTTTGACAAACGTAGGCAACCATGCGACCACCTGATGTGGTCTGGCTGGGTCCCCACCCAGATCACGGTGGCTGCCTGACGGCTTTGAACTGAGGCGTTGGCTTTTTCCTGCCATTGGATGCGAATGGAAACATTGATTCTTTCTGGGTCTTGAAGCTTCTGGCCTCCAGAGAGGTGGCCGATGGCTCCCGCAGATCGCGGGGCTTGTCAGCCTCTGTAACCGTGTGAGCCAGTCTCCTCGCCCTCCCTCTTCTGGCTGTATCTGCGTGTTCGTGTCTATGAGGACGTGGGTCCTGTTTCCTTCTGGCTGTTTCTCTGGAGAACTCTGGCTCCTGCCCTCTGCTTAGTTGTCTGTGGCTCTGAGTCGTGGTATGTTGAAGCCCAGGTTTAAGAGTATGTGGGACGCCGTGTCCACACGAGTGGGAGTAAGTACAAACATCCTCCACCTCATCAGACTGTCTCAGCAAATGCGCTGATTTCTTTCCACAGGCCAAGCTGCAAGTTCTTGTCTGCAGTCGAAGGACCAACAGCGGTACCATCACCTGCCATCGCCCGCTCCACTCACCAGGACGCCAGTTGGGACTTCTGCTCCACCCTGACTGTGAGGCAGCCCCCCGGGGATCCTGCTAAGACACGGCTGCTGACTCAGGAGACGGGGGTGCCCGAAACCCTGCATTTCTAACAAACTCCCAGGAAAGGCCATAATCCTGGTCCTTGGGCCAGAGTTTGAGAAGCTAAAAATAAATAACTTACAGGGTCCCTTGCCTTTCCTCAAAGTCTGGTGGTATTGTCTAGTAATAAGCGCTCTCAGTACCCAGCACGGAGAACACGATGGTTCAACAAGGGCTGGAGGCAAAGGAGATGCAGTGTGTCTTCCAAAATTACCAGCTCTAATGAACGGCCGTGCCTCCGCCTGGGAGGAGAGCTGCCTCCAGCCAGCTCATGTGCAGGCGCTTCTCCTCTGGGATTTACGTTGTTGCTGTGTGGTAGCTTCTTTGGAAAATTGCTTGCTTTATTGCCCCAACACATTTTTGTCTCATTATGGGACACAATAAAAGATAATGAGTTAATGGTTGAAAGAAATACATTTCAGAGCGAGAAGGAGAAATATGACATTTCCGGCTCATTAATTTTTAACGACTTCTTAGGGAACTCCTTGGTTTAAAGACCTCACCAGGAAGATCGCATTTGGGCATGTGTGCTTCTTAATTTATTTCTGTGGCCTTAAGTCGTAGGAAAAAATGGCACTAGACAGCTGGAAGTATGGGGCACTTTGAACCACACACAGGAATAAGTACGTCGTAATTCTGGGAGTTCGCTGTGGCAACTTGCAAAGGCCTTTGACACGCGCCAGCCGACAGCGGATGCACACACATTGAGGAGATGACAGGAAATAATTTCCAACAGCAAATGTGACATGATTTTACACAGATAAGCACCAACAACAGCGCTTCATCTGTAATAATTCCACTGGGACCCGGGGGCTCTGGGTCAAAGCTCAGGTCAGTGCTCTGCTCACGGTGACCTCAGACAGTCCCTGTGTGCCTTGGGCTCACCGCCATGACGTCATGCAGCCTGTCGGTGGGTCCTTGTCACTTGCAGCCTCTTAGTCCTCATTCTGGAGGACATGTGCCCTCCTAGCCGTGAGCCCTGGAGGGCTGACTTAGCAGCAGTGTTTGCCAGTTACTGTGCTGTCAATGCTCCCACCAGGGCCGATTCAGTGACGTCTCTAGAAGTGACCTTCAGCTGGATGGACTGACCCCCCTGCTCTGAACTTCAAGGTGAGCGTGTGGAGCATGCCTGCTGTGTCCTGCCTGAGGGGAGCAGGTAGCTCACTCTGGGTGGCTGAGGTGATGCCAGAGCAACGGGGCAGGAGCGGGAGCGTCCTGTTGAGTAGCGGGGCTGGAGGAGGCAAAGCTCGGGGGCGCTCTTCAGGGGATGCTCAGGTGCCAGAGTCGCTGCTGGCCAAGGGGCCTGAAGGAGACACAGCCTGGGATGAATCCCTGGAACCCACAGTCTGACCAGTGCCCCGCAGGGAGCAGGCAGTGTTCCACTCAGTGCCCCTGGCCTGGCACCACCCACCAGTCTTTCCTAGACCCGGGCATTGGTCTCTCCTCTCTCCCGACCCCACGTCACATGGGCTTCAGCCCTTCTGTCCTTCCATCCTCTGTAGAGAGAAAGTTGTTTCCTTTTGTGGGAAGAGTCGCCGGCCTGAAGCGCACAGCTGTGATGATCCCAACAGGTCTGTGCAGCAGCTGTCACTGAAGCTGGGCTGTCCCTGCAAAGTGACATTCCTGCCTGCTGCAAGGGTGGGCTTGGGTGGCTCATATCGGCTCACCAGAGCTGACTTTTAAATTTTCACTCAGTGTGCAAATCAGTTGTCAAAACATCGGCAGCTCAGAATGAGCCCCGGTGCATTTACAGCACGGAGACTGGAAAACACAGTCACCACTGCGTGCCAGCCCCTCCAGGGCTCGTGGCTAAGAGGGCACGTGTCCTCCAGGACGACTGAGATGCTGCCAGTGACGCAGACCCACCGACAGCCCGCAGGATTTTATAGGGGTGAGCGCAAGGCACACAGAGACTGTGTCTGGGGTCGCCGTGAGGACCCAACTGGGCTCCAGCTCAGAGCCCGGGTCCCAGTGGAATTCCTTTGGATGAAGCGCTGTTGTTGATGTTTATCTGTATTGAATAATTAATGTCGCATTTGCTGTTGGAAATTATTTCCTGCCATCTGCTGAATGTGTGTGCATCTGAGTCTGCCGGCCCTGGGGGTGTGGGGAGCAGAGAAGCAAGAGAGGGTTGAGGGGAAGCTTCTGCTGAACAATTGTACCAGGGCTGCTCCCGGCTGGCCAGAGGACTGAGTCCAACAGTGTGGAGCCCTGTGGTGTCCACGTGCACTTACATGTTCTAGAACTTGAGTGTAGGCCCAGCCAAGGGGACTTCGAGGCTGGACAAAGGGCTCAGCTGCCATCATGGCACAGCCGCCCATATCACATGGAGGCTGTGGGGCTGTGTGGGACTTGGTCCCGCCTCCGCGTGGCTCCCCCTGCTCAGGCCCACACCTCCGTCCAGAAGCAGTGTCCGCAAAGTCCCAGTACCACCAGGCTTCCTTTGTCTTCTCTTCATAGAACCCTGTCCTTGACGGCATAACACGTGTTCAGCTCCAGACGTGCGCCCGTTCCCTTCTGACCTTCGTCTCCAGAAAGGTCTGTCTGCTCAGCAGGAGCACACGTGCGCGACTCCACACTCCCAATACACCCGTGCCCATTCACACTATGCCCAAGTGCCCCGGCAGGAGGCCCGAGGCCAGGGCTCCATGCAGCCCTGTGAAGGGACTACATCGGTGCTTCTCAGCTGGGGGCGATCCTGCTCCCCCAGGGACATTTGGCAACATGTGAAGACATTTTTGGTTATCACAACCGGTGGGCTGGGGTGGTAGATGTACTGCCACTTCAGTGGGGGAGGGCCAGGGACGCTGCTGGACATCCCACCATCCACAGGGCGGCCCCTGACAAAGATGCCAATAGTGCCAAGGCTGGGAAACCCTGGGTTATAGGAGCAGAGAAGCTTGGCAGGCGAGTTGCTGGTCCCACTGGATCTGGGGCTGCTGGAAAGCCTGGCATACAGTCACTATTGCAACCCCTGGGAAGGAGTAATAGACAGGAAGATGAGTGACAGCAACAACAGGACGAGGCAGACGCGACTGACATGAATTGTGCAGAGGACGCCTGAGCTGGAAGTCAGGGGCAGGAAGGTAGGCTGGCAGCCAGGAGGGCTTCCTGGAGGGGGTGAGATAGAGCTGGGTGGCATGAGAAGCACACAGCTTACCTTTTACTTTTTAACTCTGTGATTGTTTTTATTTTTATTTATTTATTTATTTATTGAGACAGAGTCTCAGTCTGCTGCCCAGACTGGAGTGCAATGGTGTAATCTCGGCTCACTGCAATCTCTGCCTCCCAGGTTCAGGTGATTCTCCTGCCTCAGCCTCCTGAGCAGCTGGGATTATAGGCGCGCACCTCCACGCCTGGCTAATTTTTGCATTTTTAGTAGAGATGGGGTTTCACCATGTTGGCCAGGCTGGTCTTGAACTCCTGACCTCAAGTGATCCACCTGCCTCAGCCTCCCAAAGTGCTGGGATTACAGGCGTGAGCCACCGTGCCTGGCCTGTGATAGTCTTTAAAAGGCAAACTTAAAATTGTTTCAGTTGAATTTATCTATTTTTGCTTCTATAGTTCTGGATTTTGGGTCATGCTTGGAAAGGGCTTCTTCCAGTGAGGTAACATTTCGAAATTCTTACGTGGTGTCTTCTAGTAGTTTCATGATTTATTTTATTTTATTTTTAAATCTTTAAATTTTTTTGATACAAGGAATGAGGGGTGATTTCAACCTTCTTTTCTCCAAATTGGATCCAGTTATCCCAGCATCATTGATTGACTCACCTCCCTTCCCCCACTGCTGTGACGGCCCCTTTTACCATATATACATACGTAACAGCAGGTATACCACGGAGCAGGCACTTACCACAGGTCCTGCACTCAGGTCAAACGGCCTCGATGGTACGTACGTAAGTTGTCCTCTGCAGCCCTTCTGTGCTACATAAGCCCTGGGTCTGGGAATGATGGGTGGGGCGCCACCATGTTCTGGAAGGCCTCTAAGATTTCCAGTATTTTGCTGTTCCTGCGTAAGTGCAGGCGCTTCCCATAGGTTTATATACGGTAATGCCATGTTTATAGGGTTAGGATTAGGGTTGTTCCCCCAACATTGAGGATTACAATTCAACATGAGATTTGGGTGGGGACACAGGTCCAAGCCATATCACTCTCAAACATAGCTTTTTAGGGGGACACAATTCAGCCCATGGCAGTGGGTTTCACCAAGCCCCGTGGGCAATCCAGCCCTAAGTTCCTCCCCAGCCTCTCCCAGGCACCGAGGGGCATCTTGGGATTTGTGGCTGTGTACTCGATGTCGCCATTTCCTTTCCTGCAACCTCAGATCCTTGCAGAATTGTTGAATTTGGGTGGCGGGGTGGGGGGGTGGGGCGGTGCATACAACTCAGCCCATAACATGCACTAATATGAATCACATCTTAAAAAAGCTCAGATTTGGTTCTAGAATAAGAAGGACTTTGGTGGGCAGTTATGATGGCGCTTTCTCCTTCTGAGCACAGCTGTGTTTGCCAGGGGCAGTGCCTGGCTTGGTGGCCCCAGGCCGGTCCCCAAGCTCTTCAGCATCCCAGGCTGCAGCCTAGAGACAGGCACTGGCTTAGGTTTTTGGCTCCTTGGTGGCCCAGCTTGAGGCTGGCTCCACGCCCTTCTCACGACTCTCCAGCTTTCCCAAGAGCCGAGTCTTGGAGGGGAGCCTGAAGCAACAAAGCAGCATCATCATCTCCTCAGCCTCCGGGATGCCAGTAGAGCTCCCTTTCAGGCTTGTTTTTCTCTTTCCTTTTTTTTTTTTGAGATGGAGTCTTGTTCTGTCACCACGCTGGAGTGCAGTGGTGCCATCTCAGCTCACTGCAACCTCCACCTCCTGGGTTCAAGCGATTCCCCTGCCTCAGCCTCCTGAGTAGCTGGGATTACAGGTGTCTGCCACCACGCCCGGCTATTTTTTGTATTTTAGTAGAGACAGGGTTTCACCACGTTGGCCAGGACGGTCTTGATCTCCTAACCTCATGATCCTTCGCCTCTGCCTCCCAAAGTGCTGGGATTGCAGGCCTGAGCCACCGTGCCTGGCCCAGGCTTGTTCTTTTCAGGCACACAGTGAGGAAGTGAAAAAGAGAATGTGAGTGGGGTGTGGATTGGGATGGCCTTGGTGACAGGACGTCCACTTCCAGATGGTGTTGGCAGGGGTCAGACTTGGCTCACACACACCAGGTAGTGGAAAGAGGAGTGATTCTTGTCTTTTCCTTTTTGGGATTTCCTTTTGGTTCATAGAGTCGACAGTTTACACCCAATAATGATAATCCCACCAGGCATGTCCATTTCTGCCCATTTCCAGCCCAGCTCTGTCCCCAAGGCTCAGTCCATACTGTGAACACAACCACAGAACGGGGGTCCTCTGCTGTGGCGGTGGGAGGGGGTCTGGCAGCCAGAATCCAAGACTGTCAGGACCATGCTATTTCATGCACGCTAGACCTGGAGATCTGAGTTTCAAGCCCGTCTAATTCTCCTTGCAAAACCTGTGAGCATCCCAGCAGGATGAGGGGGGAGTTACCCATGTCTGGCTTTGCTCAGGGTAGGAGCCCTGGAAGCTTCACCCCTGAGAAGGTGAATCCAGAGACACGTTACAACCACCCGAATAGGTGCCTGTGATGTCAGTGCCACACCTCGACCGGCATCACTTTAATTCATCGTCATGACTATTGAGCGTGGCGCTGCGGTGTCCAGGAGAGATTTGTTCCCAACCACATGCTTGCTGAGGAGAAAGAACAGCCGCCCAGGTGCCCAGCAGTGGGGCGTTTTCTTTGCAGGATGTATTTCCCGTCTGCCCGCATCCCGGTGAATCCACCGCTTTTCTAGTCAGTACCCGCTGGGATGCATCTAGAGCGATCTCCCTGAAGACCTCACGGTGGTGTGGGCTGGACTCGGAGCAGGCCTGTGAGCGTGGTGCACACTCTGCTTGCTCTCTGCAGCTATGCCAACCTCAAACTTCTTTATGTTCGGACACAGAAAAACTATATCACTAGTGAGATACAACAAGGACCAACAGATGTGACTTTTTCTCAGGAGGTCGTGTTTGATTGACTAAAACTGGGAGAACCTTTTGCTGGGTCTGGCCTCCTGCACGTCCGACTTGACATGGGCTGGTTCCGACGCAGCGCAGGGTGTTAACCATCTTTAGTTCTGCAAGAGTTCCCTTTGTGTTCTGCCCTCCGCTTGCCTGGGTGCTCACGGGGGAGACTGAGGGTGCAGCGTGGGCCCTCCCTGCCCAGCCCCTGCGTTCACTCTATAAAAGGCACTCACAGAGCCACCACCGTAGCCCCAAACTACAGTAGTGAAATAACATCTGCATTGGATCAGGGGTCTGGAAAAGATGCAAGGCCGCAGACTGTCAAGGCACCACGGTGGGATCGCTGCCTGCAGCATGAGCCACTGCACGTGTGGGCTCTGGGAGCAGGAGTGACCCGTGGGCTGGGGCATGAGACTCCCCACCGGGGGGGTCCCGTTCCCTGCGGGACCAGCTTCCTCAGCATCACCATCACGGGCAGACTCCACTTTGCTGGTGGCCCTTCTTCTGGGTCACCGTTAAATCAGGGGAGCCCACTCCTCCCAGTGGCAAAGTCCTCTTCTCACCTCTACATGATCAGAAACAAGAATAGGAGAAGCCAAAAAAGGCCTGCCAGGGGAGCGTCTCAAATCCCTATGCCCGAGGCCCTGTGTGAGCAGCTCCCCTGTGCTTGGAAGGATTGGGGTATGTCATGGCAGGCTATGGGATGACCCCAAAAGATGGTCATGTCCTAATCCCTGGAACCTGGAAATATGGAACGCCATGTGGCAAAAGCGACTTTACAAGTGTGGTGGAGGCTCTTGAGATGAGAATTGATCCTGGGTTATTGGGTGGGCCTAATGTCACCACAAGGGCCCTTGTAGGAGGGAGGCAGGAGGGGCAGGGGCAGGAGGCGATGTGGCTGTTCAGAGACCGAGAGAGCTTGGAGGCTGCTATGCTGCTCTCCTTGAGGAGGGAGGATGCAGGTGGCCTCCAAGAGAGAAAAAGGGCAAGGAAAGGATCCTCCCTGGGGCCTCCAGAAGGAACGTAGCCTGCCGACAAAATCCTACCTCCAGAACTGTAGGGGAAAAGCGTGTGTGTGTGCATGGGAGTGTGTGAGTGCCCGTGTGCATGTGGCTTTGTGTGCATGTGTTTGTGTGCAAGTCTGCATGCATGCATGTGTGTATGCACGTGTTTGTGTGTTTGTGTACCCGTGCATGTGCTCAAAAGTGTGCGTGTGCATGTGTGCACACATGTGTATGTGGATGTGTTTGCATGCGTGTGCATGCACGTGTGTATCCATGCATGGGTGTGCATGCATGTGAGCATGTGTGTTCATGTACATGTGTGTGCCTTTGTGTGTGTGCATGTGTATTTGTGTGCATGTCTGTGTGCCTGCATGCATGTACACATGTACATGTGTGCATGTTTGCATGTGTGTGCGTGTTTTGCATGTGTGTGCATGTTTGCGTGCATGTTTTGCATGTGTGTGCATGTTTGTGTGCGTGTGCATGCATGTGCATATGCATGTGTGTGTACGTGCACTTGTTTGTGTGCATGCATATGTGTGGATGCACATGTGTGTGTGTGTGTGTTAAGTTCGTGTTCTTTCCATGACCACCAGGGTTTTGGTCACTGGTCACAGCAGCAGCAGAGACACAGTAACATGAGTGTTGACGGCACAGAGCAGCAGCCCGGCTTTGATCTGGTAGACGGTTTTCTGGGACCATTTTATTGGCTGTTGCACTTGTTGCAGCCTGTGTGGATCTGGCTAAAGAGTGATGGGGACAGAAAAAGGAAAAACGATTGGGAGCTTAGCGATCAGACCATAGACAATGAGGCGGCCGGATCCTTCGTGTGCCGTGAGTCTTGAGTTCCTGAAGTTAGAGTCCCAGGTGGTTGTTTCCCCAGCTGCAGACACTCGGTGCGCCTGCCACAGGGTGGTGTCCTCACCCAGCCATCTGCCCTGGGCTCCCTGCAGCTGGGCTGGTGGACGACAGGTCCATGGATGGGAGTCACAGAGGTGAAAGCTGGTGGGAAATGTTCTGGAACATAAAAGTGCATCCTGTGCTTCTACAAATCACACTGGGTGAGACTGAGACACCTTGGAAAGAGCGGCGTCTCCCAGCCTCTGCACGTGGTCTCTGCCTCTCCACTCCGAGGTGATGAGAATGTCGCCGTGGCTCTCAGTTGCCTGAGATCCAGTTCCTCCAGTTAAATGCTGCGTTCGCCCCGTGGGTCAGGGTCTTCACTGGTGGGTTGACCAACTCCCATTTTCCTTCCTCTTTATTTTCTTCACAGAAGCACATGCCCAGGGAAGGGATCTAGAACAGAGTTTTAAGTCACTTGTTAATATCTTACAACAAGTCAGTGGGTTTCAGACTAGCTCCAAAGCCAACTGTCAGGCGCTCCTCTGCCTTGGAGGGTCTGCAACTGCCCTGGCTGGCACTGCCACTATCAAACGGCACCAACGCCTACCAGGGCGGTGCCCCATGGGGGATGTCCCCTAACCAGGGGACACTGGATAATTCTGGAGACATTTCTGATTGTCACAACTGAGAATGGAGGTGGTGCCAACACTTAGCAGGTAGAGTTCCTACAAGGGCCCTACACATCCCGTGATGCGTAGAACGGCCCCCACCACAAAGGCGTGCAGGCTGAGGTGGAGACTGCCGTCCACCACTTAAGGAGTGACTCATATTCTCACATTCAACATCACAAAAAGACACAGACATTGAGTTTTCAGACCCAAGAGAAAAGCACCAAGTGAACCTTCACACCTCAATCCCTTCATCTGTGAAGTGGACGTGTGGGAACAGAGCCCTGTGGTGAAGCCTTTTTTGTTTTTGTTTTTGTCTTTTTCTTTTTTTTCTTTCCTTCCTCTTTCTAATGTCTAGAAATTCTTCAGGCAGATGAAATTTACAAAAATGCCAACTGGCGGGGGGGATGCAAGTGAAGCGGGCGTTGACTCTAGGGCGATTCTCTCCTTGTGCTTGTAGGGGCTGAGGTGGGTGGGCGGTGATGGGCTGGCTGGGGAGGGTCCAGTTGCCTCTATTTGGGGGCCCATCATTTGGCAGGTCCCCCTTTGTGTTTCTGATGTGCATGAGTGAGTCCAGCTTGTTTCAGGGTGGGGGCTGTTGGTGTGGTGAATGCTACGTGATCAGTATAAGAAAGTCCAGTGGTTTGGAAGTTCAAGACTGGCAACTAGGGAAGGGGGTGAAGGATCCATGGAGCTGGTGGAGCTTTGGCCACAACGGCTCATGGGTTTGGGGAACTGTAAGTGGCTGGCGTGCGCAGTGCTGCCACCCTGTGGGTTACATGGACCCCCAGGAGCGCCTGGGGCTGGGGGCTTGGTGTGTATATGGGGCTGTAGGAAGGGGTGTGGGGACAGCAGGGATGTGTCAGAGCATGTGTGTGCGAGACCCATTGGCAGAAGCAAGAGCAACGTTTTGGGAGCAGGTGGTGCCGGAGCTGCCCCGACAGTCCTCAGGAAAACCCATGCAGACCTCTACCAGTGTGTTTGGAGGGTGAGCCGTCCTATTCGGACGATGCTCACCTGGTGGCTCAGGAACCCAGAGTGCTTGGGAACATCTGGATCATAACTGGGAAGCACCAGCCTGAAGATGCGACACAGGGGATGCCTGCTTCTACTCAGGTGCGGAGGACAATGGAACAAGAAGGGGGACTTGGGTGTCTGACCCCTAATTGCCAAGTGACAATGACCCATGGCAGGTGTGCTCTGTGTGTGTGTAAGTTCTCACTTACACTAGAGAGCCGAGCCCTCCTGCAGGCACCTGGGTGGCGTCACTGGGCTGGGCCTGGGAGTTGGGCTCCTCTGAAGCCCCCAGACCTCTTGGGGAACTCAGCAACAGCCCCCCCCCCCCGCCCACAACTTAGGGCAAACGAGCTGAGGCCAGTGTGGACCTGTGGCACTGCTGTGTAAAGAAACCAGGTCAGGGCCTCAAGCACCTCTGACGCCAGGCATTGGCTATGCTGCGCACCTGGGCACTGACCAATGGCCTAATTAATTTGATAAAAAGGTCCAGACCGTGGTGAGTCCAGCCTTGAGTGGATCTGCACAGAAGGGGCCGGGGCCGGTGGGATTGAGCTCCTGCATTTGCCTGCCTCAGTTCACCCATGGACTTGATGGCACCCTCTCACTTTGCTGGGTGATAGTCAAGGTTGTCCAAGATGCCACGTGTGCATCAACCTCTGTTTGTCATTCGCAAGGCCCTGGCCAGCACCTGAGCACTCTGGCAACTACAGATCAAGCTTATTCTGTGCTGGGTGACTCCAAGAGCAAGAGGACCGAGGGGCTCCTTCTCATCCGTCAGCCGCCCTAGCGCAGGTCCCCAGAGGAGGCCAGGTGAGTCATGCAGTCCTTTCTTCTCTCCTCATCCACACTGCTTACTCCTTTCTGGATTGTCTGTTTTTCTACGAGAGCTGCAAGGGGTGATAGGGTGAGCTGACTGGTAAAACCTCGGCAGGTGACCAGTGATGATGAGGACTGACCTATCCACCGGCCCCACAAGGAAGTCACCGTTTGCACAGGAGCAGGTGGGCACCGTCTCCAGGAGCACGTGGATCCTGGGTCAGCTGGATACTTGTTTTCATCCCAAGAAGGGGTGTGATAACCTGTGTCTTTGGGGTGCTTGACTTTGTGGCTCTAAGAGCCAAGAGTGAGCACGTACCTTTCTCACGAGCTGGGCAAAATCCCCGCACTCCCGAGGCGGCAGCCCCAGCAGTGGCCGAGTGCAGGAATCCAGCGCGGAGCCGTGACTCACAATTAGGATGACACCTGCTGTGGGAAACACGAACGCCTCCAGGTCAAAGCAGGCCCAGAGAGCACCTTTTATAAGACTGGGGTCCCCAAAGTGTTTGGGGCAGAGCTAGCTCAGAGTGCTCCGTACACTTTGGGGACCCCACAGTCTACCCAGAGCGACCCCTGGGCTAGGAGGTAGTGTGGCTGGTAATGGCTTAGTGACGCCTGCATCCCACCCTCGCTCGTGGATTCCTTCGCGTGCAGCAGCTGCCTGCCAGCCTCAGGGAGGCCTAGGAAGTGAACTGAGCTGCCCCCTCTCTGTGGTGGCCGCTGCCTGGGCCCCGTGTGGGATGGGGTACGGTGGCTGCTGCCCGGGCCTGAATGGCCAATTGGTTGTTTTGTTACACGAGCCTACAATGACTCGTGTACAGAACACCTGGAGACCACAGGAGGAGGGGGCTCCCTCAGGTGAGATGCGTGTCCCCGCCAGCTCGGGGGAAGGGGTGGGAAGCCAGTGCTTCTGCGTGCGCTTCATCTGGGACAAAGCAATGCTGGAGGGTCAGGAGACCTGTGTGGTGGGTCAGGAAGGGGGCTCCAAGTAGAAGTTGGTTGTTTCTCCTCTCTGTCTCTTTTGTTTCCCAGGAAACTGACTCGAATCCCTTGGACGCGGGTGGTTTGTGCTGACCCTGCTGGCCTGGGTCCCATCAGCCCATCAGCACTCAGTCCCGGGATGAGGGGTCCCGGGGCCCAGGGTGGCAGGGGGAGCGCGTGTCTATGCACCCGGTTACCGCAGCAGCAGCAATGAGCACTTTGTGGCTGGAGAATGTGGGGGCAGGGGAAGTGAAGGCATTCATAGGTTCAGAAAGTCAGCCAATCGCCGTCTCAGAGAGAATCCCCAAGCCCCAGGGGCTGTCCGTGCCGAGGATGGTGAGGCACTTACTGTCCTGCAGACGCGTGTCGACGATTTGCAGTACACTCGCTGTGCACCTGTCCACGTACTCCTGGTAGCTCTCGGCCGGCCTGAGGGCGGACAGGGGAAACGCAGGCCTGGAAGGAGGAGAGGGAGAGGCTGCTGCCCTGGCCTTTTGGTAGGATCAGGAGACGCGGCTGCAGTTAGCCAGGGAAGGAGAATGTTCTTCTGGGACGGCTCTGCCTCAAGGCTGGGCTCATGGGCAACCGGGAGGCTCTAGTTTTGTGCTGAAAACTGGCAAAGCACTAACAGTCAGTCTCCAGCACATTCTTAGTGAACACCAGGAGGGCTCTGTGATGGCAGAGTCAGACATGGGTGGAGAACAACAAAGACTCTCTTTGACCAAACTCCAGTCCAGCTCCCCTTAACCTTCTCCATGCAGGCTTGACCCTTGGGCTTCTGTGTCTGTTCTTGCAGAGTGAGTTTAGCAAGAACCTGTTACCCTCGGTCTCTGATCAAGTTCCTTGTCCTCTGCCACCCTCAAGTGACATCTGATCACCTTGGCCTGCCTCCAGCAGGAGGCCCTGTTTGTGTCAGTTTAGTAAGAATGACCCGCCTTCTCAGGAGTTTTCCAGCCACCAGCTCCTACCCTGCTCTGTGGCTACAAATCCGCACTTGTCCTTGTATTAGGAGTCGAGCCCCGTCTCCCTCCCCTGCTGCAAACCCCACTGCAGTGGTCCCTCTTGAATAAAGTCTTTCTCACCATTTTAACAGTGTCATGAAATTTTTCCTTAACAAGAACTAGAAAAGCCCCAGTGGCAGAGAACTTTAGAAGAGCACACCTGTAATCAGTGTCGATGTTGAAATGCGCCTCCCTCAGCTCCTCCACGCTCATGAGGGTTGGGCTGGTTTTGCCAGCTTCCCATTTCGTCCATTCAAATATTCCCGGCTCCACTCGTATCTTGATTTTTTTCTCCAGTTTGAGTTCTGGATTCAACAGAATACAAGTGTTTATCATCTTCAACGTCCACGCTGACCTTGCATAAGTTAAGTCTCCTTGTAGATCTCAGACTCATGCACACACTTCTAAATCATGCCTTTAAAACAATGTGATTTTCTTCAGGGCAAACACTGTTCTGTGATTAGGCACAGCCATGGTATTTCTGAGGTGAGAACTGATGAGCCGTGGGAAGGTATCAGAGGAGTGGTGACCCCCTGTGTGCCAGGAAGGGCCAGAGTCTCCTGAGAACTGGTGAGTGTCCCAGGCATCAGGCCCATCCTGGGGCTCACCTGAGCACCCAGCACAGCTCCACCATGAAACCCACCCATGGCCCCATCCTCCAACATGGCGGAGAGGCTGCCAATGAGGACTTGGCCAATCCAATGATCAAAGGTCAAGATGTGACCCATCATGAAGAGAGTTAGCCTCATGCGACACTTTCCTGATAAATGCTTACACGGACTGGGCCAGAGATGAAGAATGGAAGGGGCCATCTTCTAGAACATTCTGACTCCCTGCAACTCACACTTCCCAAGCACTTTATATTTTGATTAAAGAAAGAGCAATAAAGTAAGGCCATCTCTTTTGAGTGGAAATAAAGACCTGAATGTTTTCATTTGGAATGGAGAAGATGGCACTGAACTCAAATGCTGGACATAAAATCAGTTCCTCAAAGGTGTTTTAAGTCCATGGAATGAGTTCTTTCATCAAGCATGCTTAGAAAAGAGAGTCAAAGCAAGTTAATCAGGCCCCCGAGTCCTCCCCAAATAACTGGGTCCCCGAGTCCTCCCTCATCAACCAGGCTCCTGAGTCCTCCCCCATCAACCAGGCCCCTGAGTCCTCCCCAAATAACTGGGTCCCCGAGTCCTCCCTCATCAACCAGTCTCCTGAGTCCTCCCCGATAAACCAGACTGGAGTCCTACCTCATCAACCAGACCCCCAAGTCCTCCTCCATCAACCAGGCCCCCGAGTGTTCCTTCATCAGCCAGACCCCCAAGTCCTCTTCCATCAGCCAGGCCCCTGAGTCCTCCTCCATCAACCAGACCCCCGAGTCCTCCTCCATCAACCAGGCTCCTGAGTCCTCCTCCATCAACCAGGCTCCTGAGTCCTCCCCATCAACCAGACCCCCAAGTCCTCCTCCATCAACCAGACCCCCGAGTCCTCCTCCATCAACCAGATGCCCAAGTCCTCCCCATGAACCAGATCCCCAAGTCCTCCTCCATCAACCAGACCCCTGAGTCCTCCCCCATCAACCAGACCCCCAAGTCCTCCTCCATCAACCAGAACCCCGAGTCCTTCTTCATCAACCAGGCCCCCGAGTCCTCCTCCATCAACCAGACCCCCGAGTCCCCCTCCATCAACCAGACCCCCAAATCCTCCTCTGTCAACCAGCTCCTGAGTCCTCCTCCATCAACCAGACCCCCAAGTCCTCCTCCATCAACCAGACCCCCGAGTCCTCCTCCATCAACCAGATGCCCAAGTCCTCCTCCATCAACCAGGCCCCCGAGTCCTCCTCCATCAACCAGATGCCCAAGTCCTCCCCATGAACCAGATCCCCAAGTCCTCCTCCATCAACCAGACCCCTGAGTCCTCCCTCATCAACCAGACCCCCAAGTCCTCCTCCATCAACCAGACCCCCGAGTCCTTCTTCATCAACCAGGCCCCCGATTCCTCCCTCATCAACCAGACCCCCGAGTCCTCCTCTGTCAACCAGCTCCTAAGTCCTCCTCCATCAACCAGACCCCCAAGTCCTCCTCCATCAACCAGACCCCCGAGTCCTCCTTCATCAACCAGACCTCCAAGTCCCCCCCATCAACCAGACCCCCCCGTCCTCCCTCATCAACCAGGCCCCCGAGTCCTCCTCTGTCAACCAGACCCCCGAGTCCTCCTCCATCAACCAGCTCCTCTGAGTCCTCCTTCATCAACCAGACCCCCAAGTCCCCCCCATCAACCAGACCCCCGAGTCCTCCTCAATCAACCAGACCCCTGAGTCCTCCCCATCAATCAGGCCCCCGAGTCCTCCCCATCAACCAGGCCTCTGAGTCCTCCCCCAACAACCAGGCCCCCGAGTCCTCCCCCATCAACCAGGCCCCCGATTCCCCCCCATCAACCAGGCCCCCGAGTCCTCCCCCATCAACCAGGCCCCCAAGTCCTCCCCCATCAACCAGGCCCCCGAGTCCTCCCCCATCAACCAGGCCCCCGAGTCCTCCCTATCAACCAGGCCCGAGTCCCCCCCATTAACCAGACCTCTGAGTCCTCCCCCAACAACCAGGCTCCTGAGTCCTCCCTGATTAACAAGGCCCCAAATCCTCCCCCAAGCCTGTGAAGGGCTCATTTCCATTTGAATAAATCAGATGAAGAAACAGCATGAGAGCCCCCCAAACGGTGTGGCCATGGGTCTCCTTCTTTTGAGGATCTCTTGCAGGCCAGTGCTCTGTGGCCGTGGCTGTGGGAGACGTGCCATCTGGACACTGGACATTGAATTAAATGAAATTGAGCGCCTTGGCATCTCAGACATGAATAGCAGGTCGATCATGCCTTGTGGAGAAGCCTGGGTGGCCTGTTTTTCTGAATTGACATAGGATTTACAAACCTATGCCCTTTGAACAGCATCATCGTCACCATCATCATCATCATCCACACATAAAAAATCACTGAGAGATCACGTTAAAGGCTTTGGCATTATTGCTGGCAAAAGGCATTTTTAAAAGCTTTTTACTTTATATGCAAGTGACCCAAATAATAGAAGTCAAAAAATCCACCAAAAATGGGATTAAGTATGTTAATGAGAACCATGAATGATGACAAGAGAGATAAAATTATGAAGAAGGCACTGGGTGCGGTGGCTCACGCCTGTAATCTCAGCACTTTGGGAGGCCGAGGCGGGTGGATCACAAGGTCAAGAGATCGAGACCATCCTGGTCAACATGGTGAAACCCCATCTCTACTAAAAATACAAAAATTAGCCGGGCATGGTGGCGCACACCTGTAATGCCAGCTACTCGGGAGGCTGAGGAAGAAGGATCGCTTGAACTCAGGGGGTGGAGGTTGCGGTGAGCTGAGATCGCTCCACTGCACTCCAGCCTGGTGACAGAGCAAGACTTCATCTCAAAGGGAAAACTGACCCCCCAGCAAAAAAAGAAAAAAAATTGTGAAGAATGTTTTTGGTCAGTCGTATTCTTTTATTACAAAGGCTGGCCAAGAGATCTCCTTTTTATTCGTCATTGCTATCGTGGTGAGAGAGATTGGGTAAGGAAAGGAAGATCAAGGCCTTCACTGGAAAAGATCGTCGTAGGCTGAGGCAGTAAAAGGCCAGTGAGAGGAGGCCGTTGTTGCTGGCCCTGAGGACGCAGGTGACCCGGGGACTCTCCCACAGCAGAAACCAGAGTGCTTCTGAAACCCACTGGAAGAGCAGCAGCAGCTGAGGAAGTTTCGAACAAAATGCGCTCAGTGAGTGGTGGGTGCAAAGACCGGGGTGGAGGAGGAGAGGGGAAACTGAGGCACAGGCCTGTTGCCTCTTGTCATATATTTCTGTGTGTTTCTTGCTTGGTTCACGTCTTATTGTTATAACTGTTTGGTTAATTAGGTTAATTATAAACACATTGATCTTGAACAACCAGGGATGGAATTGCCACATACCAGTTCTGCTTTATTCCACCACAGTTATGAAGAGCCGCCCTCACGCTGAAGGGTCCCAGATGCTCGGAGACCCCGCCCCTTCACACTTCTGGTCTTGCTATCCTTGTCCCTCCCAAAGGGCAGAGCTGGAGAGGCCTTGTCCCATTTACCGTCCTTCCTGAAAACACGAAGGCGGGAGCTGCTGCTGTGGGCACCGAAACAGGGAGAGGCTGACATTGCAGGACCCTGTCTCCTGGGCTGGGCTCGTGGCTCTGAAGGAGCAGTAGGGTCGCAGTTTCCTCCTCTGCAGTCTGTGACTCGGCCTCGAGTGAAACCCCAACGGGTGTGTGTATGCGTGTGGTATGTGGTGTGTGTGTGTGTGTGTGCATGTGTGTGGTGTGTGGTGTGTGTGTGTGGTGTGTGATGTGTGGTATGGTGTGTATGTGGTGTGGTGTGTGTAGTGTGTGTGATGTGTGAGGTGTCTGTGTTGTGTGTGTATATTGTGTGTGTGGTGTGTGTGTACGTGTGTAGTGTGTGTGGTGTGGCATGTGCCATGTGTATGTGTGTGGTGTGTGTATGGTGTGTGTGTGTTGTGTGTGGCGTGTGTGGTGTATGTGGTGTGTGTTTGGTGTGTGTTGCGTTGTGTGTGGTGTGGTGTGTTTGGTGAGTGTGGCATGTAGTGTGTGGTGTGTGTGGTGCGTGTTGTTTGTGTTGTGTGGTGTGGGGGTATGTGTGTGTAGTGTGTGTGCATGTGTGTGGTGTGTGATGTGTGGTGTGTGTATGTGTGTGGTGTGAGATGTGTGTTGTGTGTATGTGTGTGGTGTGTGTATGTGTGGTGTGTGTGTGGTGTGTGTATGGTGTATGTGGTGTGTATGTGTGTGGTGTGTGTGTGATGTGTGTGGTATGTGTGATGTGTGGTGTATATGACTGTGTGTATGTGTGTGGTGTATGTATATGTGTGTGGTGTGTGTGGTGTATGTGGTGTGTATGGTGTGTGTGGCTCTGTGTATGTGTGTGGTATGTGATGTGTGTGGTTGTGCGGTGTGTGGTGTGTGGTGTGTGTGGTGTGTGGTATGTGTGATGTGTGGTGTATATGACTGTGTGTATGTGTGTGGTGTATGTATATGTGTGTGGTGTGTGTGGTGTATGTGGTGTGTGCGGCATGTGTGGCTCTGTGTATGTGTGTGGTGTGTGTGGTATGTGTGATGTGTGGTGTATATGACTGTGTAAGTGTGTGGTATATGTATATGTGTGTGGTGTGTATGGTGTATGTGGTGTGTAGTGTGCGTGGCTGTGTATGTGTGTGGTGTGTGGTGTGTGACGTGTATGTGTGTGGTTGTGTGGTGTGTAGTGTGTGGTGTGTAGCGTGTGGTGTGTGGTGTGGATGTGTGTGGTTGTGTGGTGTGTAGTGTGTGGTGGGCGTGTGGTGTGTGTGGTGTGTGATGTGTATGTGTGTGGTTGTGTGGTGTGTAGTGTGTGGTGGGCGTGTGGTGTGTGTGGTGTGTGATGTGTATGTGTGTGGTTGTGTGGTGTGTGGTGTGTGGTGTGTAGCATGTGGTGTGTGTGGTGTGTGACGTGTATGTGTGTGGTTGTGTGGTGTGTAGTGTGTGGTGGGCGTGTGGTGTGTGTGGTGTGTGATGTGTATGTGTGTGGTTGTGTGGTGTGTAGTGTGTGGTGGGCGTGTGGTGTGTGTGGTGTGTGATGTGTATGTGTGTGGTGTGTGATGTGTATGTGTGTGGTTGTGTGGTGTGTAGTGTGTGGTGGGCGTGTGGTGTGTGTGGTGTGTGATGTGTATATGTGTGGTGTGTGATGTGTATGTGTGTGGTTGTGTGGTGTGTAGTGTGTGGTGGGCGTGTGGTGTGTGGTGTGTGACGTGTATGTGTGTGGTTGTGTGGTGTGTACTGTGTGGTGGGCGTGTGGTGTGTGTGGTGTGTGGTATGTGTGTCTGCATGCGTGAGATGTGAGTGAGGACTGTGAGGAGCCTTCTTGCCCTCGGGGTGGAGCCGCCTCTCTCCTGGGGCCACACTGCCTCATGCATTTGGGGACGCGTGGGTCCTTTCGTGGTTTGGTCAAAGAAGCTGAGACTGTTCTTTGATTATCATCTGGCTCATTGAGAGCCCAGAGGGGCAGTGTAATTAACATGGGAACCTCCAAGTCCAGGTGAGATAAATCTGCATTTCTGTCTTAGTGACCTGAGATGCCTGCAGGGGCTGGGGTCTCACGCCACAGCTGGGTGGGAAACGAAAGGATGAAGCTGCAAGACTGAGGTGGATAGAAAGCGCCTTGACGGTTAAGTGCATGGAAGGTGGGTCGTGGGCGCTCCATGCTGATAAAATGGACTTCTGAGCCTCACGGAACTCGGACTGCATTATGGGATGGAAAGTTCACGAGAGCAGAGGACAAGAATGAGGAGCCCGTGGCTCCGTGGGTGGAGCCAGTCTGGCTGGGCCAGGGCTTCCTTCGCACCTGGACTGGAAGGTGCTCTGACAGAGCCTCACTGGCGGGGTAGAGGGGATCTGAGGACATGGGAGCCGGCAGTGCGCATGTGTGTCGGGGGGTCCACTGCTGTCTCAACCACTCCTCCCGTAAAGGTCCCGGCCCCGTGTGGCGCCAGCTCTGACATGGCCCCACGTGCAAGTCCTGGCAAGACCACGGTCAGCGGGACGGCCCCTCTCCCGCAGGACACGCCTTCCTCCCGCCTTGAGCGCCCATTCTTTCCACCTGGGGCTTGTCACTCCAGCCACGGCAGCCCCTCCATGGTGCAGTGCCAAACTCTGCTGCCTCCAAGCAGCCCCTCCTGGACCTTGACCCTCAGATCACCTTTCTCCTGCCCTTCACCTCCCCTGTGCTCGGCCTCCCAGCTGACCCAGCTGAAAGTCTATGGGCACGGTCACCCCCTCACTACACCCTCAAGTCTCCCTGTCCACCGTACTCACAGCTCAACGCACCCGTAGCTGCGTCCCACTCTCTACCCACTCCCTGTCTATGCTGGAAGAGACCCCCCAGCCCGGCCTACACATCCCCATTTAAACTCATGCTCACGAACTGTGGGTGGGCTCTAATGCTGCCCGGTGGTCAGCCTGCATCTCCCAGCCCAGGTCCCAGCCCCCTCTCGCTGACAGCCATTCATACCTTCAGTGCACCGCAAATTCCCATGCTCCCTGTCCCCACTTTCCACTGTGACCTGACTTCCTAGGTCTCTGAGAAAGTCAAGGCAAGCTCTGTCCCTCACATTTGCCCACCTGCTGCCTCTGCGTCTGTGTGCTCTGCCCTCTCCCCATCACCATGGAAGTGACATGCCCTCTCATGTCACCTGTGCTCCTGGCCACAGCTAGTTCCTGCCTGAGGACTGAGATCTCATCCCTCTTCCCAAAGAGGAGCAGGACGGGCTCCGGCTGAGGGCAGAGTCCAGACCTCTGGGACAGGCTGCCCTCCTCCGGGCAGGACCTTTCTTCTTCCTGAAGGTGGAAGCTGCAGAAGGGTCTGCCCAGGGCTTCCTGACACACATCAGCCCTCGAGGATGCTGGACAGCTCCACTGGCCAAGTGCATTGCCCTGGGAAGGATCACGCATTTCTGACTTAAAAGGAACCATAGCAGTTCCCAGCTCTCAAGGCTTTTGCATGCCCCTTTCCAGGTTTATTTTTAAAGGCCTTGCTGACAGAGGCCGAAGAGAAACAGTGTAAGGACAGGCCCTGGCACTCGGCTGCACCAGCCCCTATGGGTCTGATGGTCCTGGCATTCCAGACACGCTCACGGACTCAGTGTGCCTGCCAACATCCTCGGAGGGCTGGCTCGTACCTGTCTGATGACTTTGGTGTGGGCATGCATTGCCATCATCCAAATCCAGCTCCACTCCCTTCCCATCCCCTTGGAGAAGAGCCACGAGGTCAAGGGAGTAGGAGAGGCTCCCTGAGGTTTTCACTGACCTTCCAGGATGAGTTTGGCCGTCTGCACACAGCGGAGGGCTGGGGAGGCAAACACAGAGCTGATTCTGATACCGCTGTCCAGTAGCGCATCCCCTGGAAAACAGTGAAAAAGGCAGAAAATGACCCTTCCTAATTCTAGGGAATCTCTGACCGCAGATGAGCCATGTGCTCCCTGTGGTAGGCGGGGTCCTCAAAGGGCCCCGGGTTTCCACGCTCTGGTGTACACACCCTGCATAGCCCCCAAGTAGAGGCAGAACCTGTGACCAGGAGGATTTGTTGCTCCTGGGATGGTTACCTTCCATGGCAGAAGGGCGGGGATCCAAGGTGGGACTGATCAAGTTGGTGAGCCCATTAAAAACTATGATTATCTATAGTCAGTCATGGAAAAAAGTCAGAGGAACGTGAAGTGACAAGGATTCAGCAAAACATTCTCCATTGCTGGCTGCGAAGATGGAGGGGACCGCATGGCAAGGAATGTGGGCAGCCTCTTGGGCTGGGAGCAGCCCCTATCTAACAGCCAGCAAGGAACAGACCTCAGTCCTCCCACTGCAAGGATCTGAATTTGGTCAACAGCAGAATGAGTCTGGAAGGAGACTTGAGCTCCCTGTGGACACTCAGCCCAGCAGAGACCTTGGACTCAGGCTTTAAGATCCTGAGCAGAGAAGCAGCCCTGTGGGCCTGGGCTTCGAATCTGCATCACTGCGAGCTCAGAAATGGGTGGGTGGGGGGTCTCACATCTGCGATCATTAGAGAAAACTCAAGACCCACTGAGGCTCGTGGAAGGACAAGCCTGTACACCACCTCTCCCCCTGTAATATTAAAGCCCTGCTCTCAGGGAAATATTGGGGGAGTCCCTATAGCACAAAAATTGCACAGCCCCAAAGCTGGTGAGTGAAGTTTTGGTGGAGGCACTTATGGGTTGAACTGTGTCCCCTCCCCTGAAAAACATGTTAGAGGCTTCAACCCGGTGCCTTAGAATGTGACTCATTTGGAAACAAGATTTTTACAGTGATAAGTTAAAACAAGGGTGGGCACCTCAATCAATTACACTAGGGTGGGCTCTAACCCAGCATGACAGTGTCCTTGGGGAAGGGGATGTCTGTGCACAGAGACGTGCACAGAAGGGGAGAGGAAGACGGAAGAAGACGTCGCCTACAAGCCAGGGACAGAGGCCTGAGACCACCATCTCCTCCCGACTCAGCATCCTGGGACCGCACACTGGGAGCCTGGAATCAGCTGTCGGGGAGTGCAGTATTGCAACACTGCATGCAGCAGGTGCTGTAACTCGGACTTCTCACCCTGCCCAGAGCTGGTGGGTAAACATTCTGAGCACACCTCTGGGTGGGGGCCCCGGAGAGCGCTAACCATTGGTGTGACTTGCTTCTCTGGATTCTGCTTTCTGAATTTAGGAATGACTCAATGAACTCAACGGTCTCTTCTGTTTGAAAAACTCAGTCACATAGAAGCAGAACCCCAGACACAAAACAAAAGCCCCAAATGACAGATTTTGAAATAAAACCAGTGGAGGATGTGGTTTTCCATTTTTGAAGTGAGCTCCTGGGTTCATACAGTGGTTGTTGATTTTTCCTTCCCTCTCTCCTTCTTTTGAGGCCTTTCGTTCATTCCTGAATCATCCCTTCCTAGATCAAACCTCTGCACTGTCACTTTCTTGCTGTGTGACCCTGGGCAAGTCGCTTAAACTCTCTGTGCCCCAGCCTCCTCAGCAGAGTGGGGACAAAGCTAATGCTGTGTCAAGGAGAAGGCAGCGAGGGTACAGGCTGGATGCCTGTTAGCCATGGTCATCGCTGCTGTTATTGTTACCCTTCCTACTGACAGCCTTCAAACATACCTGCAATTCTGGACTGGAAAATGCCGCACGATGATAATGGGGGATCATTTTCAAAGTCTTTGATCCCACGACTCCGTCTGGGCAGACTGCAAGGGAAGTTCAGGTCTGGCCTGTAGTACTTCCCTGAAGTAGAAATAAGCGTCAGACGCACAGTTTCATCAAAACTGAGTGCAGATTCGTTCCACAAAACTCCCAAGACCAAGACACGCTCTAACGTCAAGGTTATTGAAATTACTGTCGCTCTGTTGTTTCCAAATGTGCTCTGCAACATGGCCTCAAATTGAGAAGAAAGTGCTGCTCGGCTGTGCACACAGCATTTTCTCAAATGCAGAAAACTTAGGTTTCAGCCCCATGAACCATGCGAACCTCTTTGTCCTCCCAAAACCCCCCATGAAGGTTCACTCTTGGCCACGCAGAGTGGCTCATGCCTATAATCCCAGCACTTTGGGAGGCTGAGGAAGGTCGATCACCTGAGGTCAGGAGTTTGAGACCAGCCTGAACAACACGTTTCTTCCAATATGGAGAAACCCTGTCTCTACTAAAAATACACAATTAGCTGGGTGTGGTGGCACATGTGTGCAATCTTGGGAGGCTGAGGCAGGAGAATCGCTTGAACTCAGGAGGCGGGGGTTTTGGTGAGCTGAGGTCGCACCACTGCACTCCAGCCTGGGCAACAGAGCCAAACTCTGCCTCAAAAAAAAAGAAAAAAAGAAAAGAAAAGATTTACTCTTACATTTTTCTGGTAAAGAACGTGATAAAGTGTCGCCAGGACTGATTTAGCGTAACTTGCTAAGAATCTGAAGTTGGCATCAATGATCCATGCCCCTTGCTTTAAAGGTATTCTTCTTGCTCAGGGGACACAGTGCTCTAGCTGGAGATGCCCTGCATTGTGCATTCTTTCGTCAGTTGCTTGAAGCCAGGCTGGAAGCCAGCTGGGCTCCCTGGGGCTCTCTTCCAGCAAAGGCTGCCTGGTGCCAGGGTTCACTGGGAGTTTGACCTTGAGTTCTAAGACCTGATGGTCTGGTGGCAAATTCTGGTGCCACCATCTCCTCACTGTGTGACTTTATCTCTCTTATCAGTAAAAATCAGGGAAAGGGTAGAGATTGCAAGGAGCCAGTGAGGTAACATTCATAGCCCAGCCTCTGACTCAGAGTGAGTGGCCAATGAGTGGGGGTGCTGGTCTCAGGTCAGAATGACTGATTATCCTCACGCGGGATATCAGGACACACCACACCCTCAGTGCACTCTGCTTTGCCTTCACATCCTCCAGAGGGACCCCAAACCTCCTGGCTACTGGTAGGTTCCAGCAGCTGCACTGACCTTCCGAGACCTTCTCTGCCATATCTGGCAGGTCCTGCCCTTTGCACCCCAGAATATGCCAGGCTTCTTCATCCTGGCCCACAACCTTGCACAAACCCAGCGAGGGGCAGTGGGAGGCAGCAGGGGTCAGTGGGGGGCAGCGGCTATTTTTCATGCCAGTTTTTTAGGTTCCATGTAGGAGTTTCCTGAAGACTCCCTCCCTGGGATTTCCGTGGGCAGAGATTCATTGGAACCCTGCATTTTAGAGGTGTTTATTCAATGCCAGTGTTAGCTGTTGGGAAAGGTAGTTTTAAAATCTTTTTTTCAGGGAGAAAGTCCATCAATTTTATTGTATTCTCAAAGGCATCTGTGATCCCCACAAAATGTCAAGACGTTCCATTTAGGTATTTTGCTTGTCATTGACACTTCTGTGATCACTCTGGGGCAGAGGGCAGAACTCAGGAGAGGACGAGGATGTGGGGCAAGGTCAGGTCTCAATGGGAGCAGAGTCTGTGTGGAATATGGGGTGAGGTGAGGGGCCCTGTGAGGGTGTGGGTGCCTGGGCCAAAAGTGAACTGCAGGGAGAGGCCAGTAGAGCCCCCCCAAATCTCTCTTGTGTCCCCTGAGGTCACCTTGGGGGAGAATGTGGCTATACCTCATTGTGATTTATTAAACCCTGCAATATACAGAATTCGGACAAACTAGATGTCATTCTTCACTTTATTGAGGGTCTCTCTACCTTGGAAAAAGATCCACCAGGAGTTTCCTTTCAGCTGGGGATTTACAGTGTCTTTAAAATATTCTCCCTTCTAAGTGACTTGATCTTTTGTTCAGATGACCAGGTATTTTTTTCTTTTTCTAGGAAGTCCAATAACTATTTTTGGTGTTGATTGTTTTGTATTGATTCTCCCCACCATAGACATGGTGTGTCAGTTCAATCTATAGCTTCAATAATTGTTTTATTGCAAGAAAGTTTCTTATATGTTTGTTAATGCATCCTGATAGCCACCTATTGTCTTGTTGTTTCTTCCTTAAGCTCTTGTACCTTTACTTGATCTTGTTTTATAGAGGTGACCATATTATTAGCTCTGTGAGTTATTGGAAATATGTTTGATCATGATGTTATCTACTCAGAATCTTTTCTGGTGTGTGATTGTTATCTGCCAATGGTTTTCCCTACTCAGTTCCCACTTTCTTGGGTCTGCTGGACTCCTGGAGGGGGATCCCAAAAGGGTTTGGTTAACCTAGCAACTGTGAATAGATTTTGTCACTATGTTCAATGCTTTAATTTATGTAATGGGTCATGGCTTAGAAATTGTGACACTACAGCCTTCCTATTACGAAGAGATGAGCATTGACGTGGACATTGGTCATCAGTACAGAGGTTGGCTAGTGGGTATGTGTATTTTTAAGCTCTGTTCTTACTTCGTGCATTCAGAAGAGCAAAGCTGGGGTGCACAAGAGGCATGTTTAAGAATAAGCCCATCTGTTAAGCAGCATAGCCAAAAATTATAGCAGTTAAGATTAGGTTGCAGAGGTTCAGAGATGAGACTGAGAGGTACAGCATGTGCCAGCATTGGTGGGGTTCAGAGACTACAGGTCAGGGTGCATTCACTAACCAAATGCCATACATGTGCTGCTGGGATGAAAAGACCAGCCAAACATTCACACTAGCGGACCTGCTTCCTGTTGAGAGCCATTCCTCCATCACCTACAAGTGGTTAGTTGAGGTACAAGTTTCTTTTTTTTTTTTTGAGGTGGAGTCTCACACTGTTGCCCAGCCTGGAGTGCAATGGTGCAATCTTGGCCTACTGCAACCTCCACCTCCCTGTTTCATGTGATTCTCCTGCCTCAGCCTCCCGAGTAGCTGGGATTACAGGTGCACACCACCACATCTGGCTAGTTTTTTGTATTTTTAGTAGAGACGGGGTTTCACTATGTTGGCCAGACTATTCTTGAACTCCTGACCTTGCCATCTGCCTGCCTCCGCCTCCCAAAGTGCTGGGATTACAGGCGTGAGCCATTGAACCTGGCAGAGGTAAGAGTCTTTTTTTTTTTTTTTTTTTGAGATGGAGTCTTTGTCGCCAGGCTGGAGTGCAGTGGTGCGATCTCAGCTCACTGCAACTTCTGCATCCTGGGTTCAAATGATTCTCCTGCCTCAGCCTCCCAGGTAGCTGGGATCACAGGTATGCACCACCACACCCAGCTAATTTTTGTATTTTTAGTAGAGCCTCCCAGGTAGCTGGGATCACAGGCATGCACCACCACACCCAGCTAATTTTTGTATTTTTAGTAGAAACGGGGTTTTGCCACGTTGGCCAGGATGGTGTTGATCTCCTGACCTCTTGATCCTCCCACCTGGGCCTTCCAAAGTGCTGGGATTATGGGTGTGAGCCACTGTGCCTGGCCTGAGGTAAGATTCTTACAGACAACACTCACACTTAAATGTATACATAGAACATCCCCGGACGAACATGCAGCAGGCATGTTTTCCACATATACACAAGGTCATTCCACATATACACAAGGTCATTATACACAATATACACAAGGTCATTCCACATACACACAAGGTCATTCCACATATACATAAGGTCATTATACACAATATACACAAGGTTATTCCACATATACACAGGTCATTATACACAATATACACAAGGTCATTCCACATACACACAAGGTCATTCCACATATACACGAGGTCATTATACACAATATACACAAGGTCATTTCACATATACACAAGGTCATTATACACAATATACACAAGGTCATTTCACATACACACAAGGTCATTCCACATATACACAAGGCCATTATACACAATATACACAAGGTCATTTCACATATACACAAGGTCATTATACACAATATACACAAGGTCATTTCACATATACACAAGGCCATTATACACAATATACACAAGGTCATTCCACATACACACAAGGTCATTCCACATATACACGAGGTCATTATACACAATATACACAAGGTCATTCCACATACACACAAGGTCATTCCACATGTACATAAGGTCATTATACACAATATACACAAGGTCATTCCACATATACACAAGGTCATTATACACAATATACACAAGGTCATTCCACATACACACAAGGTCATTCCACATATACATAAGGTCATTATACACAATATACACAAGGTCATTCCACATATACACAAGGTCATTATACACAATATACACAAGGTCATTTCACATATACACAGGGTCATTCCACATACACACAAGGTCATTCCACATATACACAAGGTCATTATACACAATATACACAATATACACAAGGTCATTCCACATACACACAAGGTCATTCCACATGTACATAAGGTCATTATACACAATATACACAAGGTCATTCCACATATACACAAGGTCATTATACACAATATACACAAGGTCATTCCACATACACACAAGGTCATTCCACATATACATAAGGTCATTATACACAATATACACAAGGTCATTCCACATATACACAAGGTCATTATACACAATATACACAAGGTCATTTCACATATACACAAGGTCATTATACACAATATACACAAGGTCATTCCACATACACACAAGGTCATTCCACATATACATAAGGTCATTATACACAATATACACAAGGTCATTCCACATATACACAAGGTCATTATACACAATATACACAAGGTCATTTCACATATACACAGGGTCATTCCACATACACACAAGGTCATTCCACATATACACAAGGTCATTATACACAATATACACAATATACACAAGGTCATTCCACATATACACAAGGTCATTCCACAATATACACAAGGTCATTCCACAGAAGGTGCCTCAGGAGATCTGGTGTCACCTAAGGACGTTCAGTCTCATTTGTCAGATCCAAAGTGTTTTGTCCACAGACCCGCCCGAGTGTGACCTACCGTCAGGAGTGGAGCATTGCTGCAGCCATGACTTCCCGAAGATCTGATCCACCCTCTCCCCGTGGCGAACCACCAGCACGCTCTTCCTTGCAACTGTGGCCTGGGGGGTGGGGCAGGAAACAAGGCATATGCAGTTTAACGTCCAACTCGCCAGACTTGCGCCAAGACCTTGTGCAGCTCTCTTGGTCACCTAGCAGCTGGGAGGGAATCTCCTCCTCCGTCATTTAATAGCTCAGCCCATTTTGCCAAAATCATGAAAATGAAACAGGACATGAAATTGGCAATCTCTTCAATTTCTTCCAGAGTTTTATTTTCTGGGCATTCTAACATCAAGGAAATGAAAGGAGACACAATTGGCCCCTACCATGGCACATCTGTTTTTCCACTTTTCTGTCTTTTCTAAGTCCTTATCCTTCCCATAGAGACTTCTTAGGACATTACCCCTATTGATATTATAATATGACCATTATAATGTAGATTATCTATCTATATATCTAGTGTCCTCTCTCGTTGGCACACTTCTGAGGAGCCCTCCAGGACTACCCTGGTGTTGGCACGTTAAGGGGCAGGCCTTTTATGGCTCCCAGGTGTGAATTCCGCTTCTGAGCACTCAGGGGAGAAGCCCTCATCCATCCCCTTGCTGTTCTCCCATAGCTGGTCATTCTCTGCTTGGTTAAGCGCTAGAGGAAAACAGTACTTTATACTTTCTTTACGTCTTCTTGGCATGAGAGTGGCCTTGGCCGTGGGCAGCAGCTTCACGCTGGGGAGAGCAGCTCTCTGGCACCTTCCTCTCTGGCCTCAGGTAGCCGAGGGTGGTCTTGGAGCCCTGCAGTCACAGGCCTCATGCCCCTCTGTTTCTGAAGAGCCTGTGCTTTGGGGAAGTAGCTCAAGGGTCATGCTTAGAGCAGTGACACTGCTACTCTTTGGAAGGGGCCTCTCTGTGTGGGATGATGTTGGGGGGCTCTGTCCTCAGGGGGCTGGGCCGCCCTTCTCCCCATGCTGTTCAGGGCTGAGTGGAGGGGCTGGCCTTGAGGGGAACCCACTGCAAATGAAATGGACTGAGTGAATGAGAGCCAAGGATGGCCCCTGGCACCAGAGAGCAGAGTGCTGGGGGCTGAGCCAGCTGGAGGCCACCAGGACAGCTGTGTGGAGCTTAACCCTGTGCCAGGACCCTGGAGGGAGACACCAGGCTCAGTGGCTTCCCTGGAGGGCACTATTGTGCTAGCTGACATCAGCCCTGCACCTACACCCCAGCCCCAGAATCAGGTCCAGGCTTTCCAGGGGGTTCCATTTCAGAGAAAGGGGGGACACCTGCAGCAACACAGCCCCAGTGGTGTTGCCTGTTGGCACCCGGGACTCGAGCATCAGCCTCCCTGTAGCATAGCGCCACAGGAGGGAGTATGTCACATGCTGGGACATGAAGCTGCAGTCCAGAGGGTACCTGAGTCCAGGATCCCAGGGTCCCTGCTTTAGGGAGTGGCCAAAGGATGAACATGGAAAGATGAGTCATCAACAGAGAGGGTGCGGGCAGAGTGAGCAGAGCCGGCCACAGGAGGTGGGCTGCGGGGCTTTCTGGGGACCAAATCCTGCCTGGGGCCAGGGCGACCAGGGACAGACAGGGTGGGGAGGACTCCAGGGCAGGAGGCAGCTCAGGCAGGTGCAATTCCTATCCTGTTCCCTCTTGGCCACACAGCTCTCTCTGGGCTAAAATGAGAGGGTGACTCATGTGTGTTTTGCCACTGAGCAGGGTAAGGAAGAGAGGTGAGGAGAAGTGAGACAAGGTTTGCCTTGTCAGCGCAAACCCTCATGCACCAGCCCCAGCATTGCCCTGATTCCCCCAAATTCCTAGAGAGGAAAATGCAAATGCCTTTAACATCCAAACACCCCCCGGAGGAAGGGACTCATTTTCCACCAGGCCAGTGCTGCTGATCATCCCTATCTGGACTTACTTCTGTGAATAGTGATCCAGTCTCAAGGGTCTGCACTAACTGGCCACTGTCCCTGGCAAGAGTGGTCCCCAGTGGTGTCCCTGCACCTTGGGAAGTGATTGGAAACTACTGGGAAGGAGGGGATGCCAGAAAGTAGGATGGTGGCCAATTTCACCTGCCTCGAAAGCATTCTTGGGTCAGCACCATGGGCAGCTCCTGCCAGACCCTGTGGAACCCCTGTATAGTCCACACTGGCCTGGGCAATGCAGAATTTCCAGCTGCTGAAATTTGTCGGGACCAGACAGTTCTCCATGGCCCTGACTACATTTCGTAGGTGCATAAACCATGGGATTGGTGAGCCGATGAGAACGTTTGCAATCTCCATGCAAATGCTTTCCCAGGGTCACGGGGCTGAGTCTTCAAAATGAACATGTGGTAAGGCCAAGAGAATAGTATTGGTGTCCCTTACTGGAGAACTTCAGATGTGTGCTTCAGGATAGAAACACCCATCTCCTGCGGACCTCTAGGGGAAGGTTTGTCTTGCTGTCTTGCAGTTGTGAAGTGTGGTTATGTAGGGGCTGCCTACACTGACACCAAGAGGCAGCACCCACCACTCCATCCCAGAATACATGTTAAAATATCCTAGCCTGCTTCCCTGTAGAGAGCTGATCTGCAAGCAGGTTGCAAAGTGTGCACGTGCTTGGAAACCTCGTTCTGCCTCGTAACAAAGTCCGTGCATTGGACTGAAGTTTTGGATTTGGAGCGTTTTCTTCCTGGAAGAGCTCAGAGCATTTTAAATGCTCTCCTGTGGAGCTTTGCCACAGGAATATGGTAACAAAGCAAAAGAAAGATCTGTGGGGAGTGGAATGGACTGACCCCTGAGATCTATGGAATGAGACGGGGCTGCAGCAATTCTCTAGACAGAAGGTGCCGCATGGGTGTCCTGGGGCTGCCATACGGTCTGGGTGGTGCAAAACAACAGACATTTATTCTCTCATGACTTTGGAAGCTGGAAGTCCAAAGTCAAGGTGTTGGCAGGGCTGTGTGCCCTCTAAGGTTCTAGGGGAGGATTTATTCCTTGCCTCCTCCAGCTCCTGGTGGCCCCATGCATTCCTTGGCTTGTGGCTGCATCGCTCCAGCTTTTGCCTGTGTGTCCACATGGCCTCCTCTGCTGCTGTATCAAATGCCCTCTGCTTTTCTTTCTTTCTTTTTTTTTTTTGAGACGGAGTTTTGCTCTTGTTACCCAGGCTGGAGTTCAATAGTGTGATCTCGGCTCACTGCAACCTCCGCCTCCTGGGTTCAGGCAATTCTCCTGCTTCAGCCTCCTGAGTAGCTAGGATTACAGGCACGCGCCACCATGCCCAGCTAATTGTTTTGTATTTTTAGTAGAGATGGGGTTTCACCATGTTGACCAGGATGGCCTCGATCGTTTGACCTCGTGATCCACCCACCTCGGCCTCCCAAAGTGCTGGGATTACAGGCGTGAGCCACCACTCCCCTCTGCTTTTCTCTCATCAGGACACTCATGATGGGGTTTAGGGCCCTCCTGGATAACCACGGATACTCTTCCCATTTTAAGATCCTCAACTCAATCCCGTCTGCAGAGACCCTCTTTCCTAATAAGGGCACATACACAGGTTCCAGGGCTTAGGACACCGTCTCTGGGGCCATGATTCTGCCTCCCACAGGTGCATTTTACCAGACCTGCTGCCAGTTTTCTTTTCCTACTACAGAGAAGGTGTGAAATCCCTACAGAGAAGACCGCATGAGGGGTCCAGTTCACAGCAGATGTATGTTCTGTCTTCAGCCATTGAAAGCACAGTTTAGACACAGGTTGAGCTATGAGTGGAGGCTTCCATCCCAGCTTCTTCCCATCCTGCAGTCTGGAATGTGGGGCACAGCCCTGGGGAGTCTCCCAAGTCTGGACCTTTCTCACATGGTGAACGCTGGTCGCCACTTCACACGGACCCAGCTTGGGAGACACATTCTTAGTTTCTCAAGAAAAGGCCTGGACTGGGAAAATGTGGCACATATACACCACGGAATATTATGCAGCAATATAAAATGATGAGTTCGTGTCTTTGTAGGAACATGGATGAATCTGGAGAACATCATTCTCAGCAAACTGACACAAGAACAGAAAATGAAATACCACATATTCTCACTCATAGGCGGGTGATAAAATATGAGAACGCATGGACACAGGGAAGGGAGCACTGCATACTGGGGTCTATTGGGGGAATAGGGGAGGGACAGCGGCGGGGGAGCTGGGGAGGAATAGCATGGGGAGAAATGCCAAATATGGGTGAAGGGGAGGAAGGCAGCAAAACACCCTGCCATGTGTGTACCTATGCAACTATCTTGCGTGTTCTGCACATGTGCCCCAAAACCTAAAATGCAATTAAAAATAAATAAATTGATTAAAAAAAAAAAAAAAGAAAAGGCCTCCTCAGCCAGCCACCAAGGCAGCAAAGGCCCGCCAAGGCTGCTTAGCTTTGGGCTGATTTGCATCAGCTACCAGGAGGCACAAATGGTGGAAATGGTGACAAGGACACTGCTTCAACAGCAGAAGTTTGCTCTCTCACTGCCCCGGAGGCTGGAGGTCAGAGATGATGGCATTGCCAGGCCTGGTTCCTTTAGAGGCTTCTCTCCAGGACTTGAGGGTGGCGTCTCCTGCCTGTGACCTCACAGGTCCATTCCTCTGCGTGTGTCTGTGTCCTCATCCCCTCTTCTTGTAAGGGCAGCAGGCAGAAGGGATCAGATCGCCCAGCTGTATTGCCTCATTTCACTTTAAATACGTCTTTCAAGGCCTCGCCTACGGATACGGTCACATTCAGTGGGACTGGGGGTTAGGACTTCGAGACAGGAATTTTGGAGATACACAATTCAATCCGTAACAGAGGCTAGCGCTGATCCTGAGATCCTAAGCCAGTGAGGAGTCCCGGTAGGGCCTTCTTTTGGTCGCTCTAGAGATTTGTGGACCAGACCCCAAGCTGGGCCCTGGGGACTAGAGAATGAACCAGGCTACTGTGGCCCTACCTTCTGGGCACAACAGACTCTCCACACCAGGGGCCTGGCCGTCGTGGGCACTGGATACCCTATTTCATGTAATCCTCCCCACAATCTGATGGGAAGGTGTTAGGACAATCTCCATGAGCCCCAGTTTTTGGATCTGTAAAATGGGTAGGGGGCAGGAATAGCGCCTCCTGTGTTGATTGGGGGTAGCAGGGGTGAGAGATCCTGAAATAACATGTGTGGCACATGGCAGATCACAGAAGGACAAATTTGGGAACAGTAAGGACAGGGAGGCATTTCCACTACTGTGGCAACTGGACCAGGGCCAGCGGCAGGTGCAGTCCCTTCTCGGGGGCTCTTCTGTAAGGAGGGTGACGCTTCAGATCACAGGACGGGTCAGGGATGCCATGCCACTTGTTTGCCTTCAGGGATTGGCTGCCTGCTCCTCGGTGTCCCTGCCTGGCAGCCTGCTCTCCTGGATGTGCCCTGTGAGGGTGGCTGGCTCAGGGTGCCCTGCTGTGCCCTGACCCCTGGCCTGAGGAATTATGAAGGTTCTGAACCTCCAGGTTATGAAGAGTTTTACCTCAAAAGATGAGGGGCCAAGGCACTGGAGGAGGTGACGTCTTGGGGGCTGCTTGGCTCATGAATGAGGGAATGGGGTGAGAACTCGGGATTCCGGGCAGGGCTGTGTCCTTGCCTCCTCCTTGCCCTGGTGCCATGACTGAAGCCTCCTTGAGGAGCTTGAAGGTGGGGCACTTTCCCATGGAGGGGGTGGCTCCCTGTCTGCCCGGAGCAGATGGACCAGGGCAGGACCCCCTGGCACCTCAGCACTGGTGGGAGGCCCCCTTGCGGACCCATGCCTGGATCTGCGCTCTAGGCCAGCAGGGAGGACGTGTCTGTGGAACAGAAGCTATTCCCCCAAAGCTTCGTCCACCATGAAGTTAACACAGAGTGTGGTTTTGCTCAGTTTACTTAAAAGAAAGAAGGGAACGTTCTATTACCTGCAAGGCCTGTATGCCACTGAGACTCCGGGCTGTTTGTGAAAGGAACTCCCCACCGCGTCTGCTGCTGGCCTCCCCGTCCTTTCTGGAGTTCAGGTCCGCGGCTAGATTGAAGGTGTACGTCCTGCATGGGAAGGAAAGCACGGCTTGAGCAGAGGTGAGACTGTGCTGTTGCCGTAGAGACCCCACATCTGGTCACGTGTGCACTTGAGGATGTGCGGGGCAGCTGCAGACAGGTTCCCAGGAGCAGAGAATGAAGCAGCCTGTGCGAAGTGCTCAGGACCCAGGACATGTGGATGACGTGGCTGTTTCATTACAACAATCACCGTCTCGATGGGTAATTTTACGTGTCAACGTGGCTGGGCCACAGTGCCCAGGTATTGGGTCAAATGTTATTTTAGATGTCACTATGAAGGTATTTTTTTAAAGAACGAGATTAACATTTAAGTCACCAGACTGAGTAAAGCAGGCCACCTTCCAGAGGATGGGCTCCACGGTGCTGGCCCAATCTTTTTAAACTGCTGGAAGTCCTTATTAAAAACATCTAAAGTTTTTAAAATCAGAAAATGGTCCTTGAATGTCTCAACACATCCCTGTGGGTGGGTCTCATCCAACCAGCTGAAGGCCTTAAGAAAAAACAAACTGGGGTCCCACGAGGAAGGGGGTTCTACCTCCAGCGCACCTCTGGACTTAAGCAGTAACTTCAACGCTTTCCGGGGTCTCCCACCTGCCGGCCTACCCTGCAAACTGTGGACTTGCCAGGCTCACAGTCTCGAGCCCATTCCTTCACCTAGATCTCTCCTCTCCCAGTCACTCTGTCTCTGTCTCTCTCTGGGGAACACTGATGAATACACCATCCTCTTTGATCCACCTTCTAATACAGTCACAGGTGTGCAAAGGGACGCAGCTGAGATGCAGGAATGAACCAGCGTGAACAGACACATGGAAGTGCTCTCCTCACATCTGGAGGAGAGAAGATGCATTCAGCAGAGGGCGTCGGGGTACTAAGGAAGCTGCTGCCTTCCAGCAATCGAGAAACATGTCATGGAGTGGACAGGCACCTGAGAAAGCTGCTGCCTTCCAGCAATCGAGAAACATGTCATGGAGTGGACAGGCACCTGAGGAAGCTGCTGCCTTCCAGCAATCGAGAAACGTGTCATGGAGTGGACAGGCACCTGAGGAAGCTGCTGCCTTCCAGCAATGGAGAAACATGTCATGGAGTGGACAGGCACCTGAGGAAGCTGCTGCCTTCCAGAAATCAAGAAACATGTCATGGAGTGGACAGGCACTCAGGTGCTCAGGGATGACTGAGGGGAAAGATCCCAGCAACGTGCAGCAGTGAGAGCTCCACACTCTGGAATAGGAAGGGGGTGATGGTGATGGAGGGGTCCCCCAAAATGAATGTGTCTGGGAGAAACAGGCAGGGTGGTCAGAGGAAGGCAGTGAATGAGAAACAGAGACCTGAAGGCTGCAGGAATCCTCGGAACAGCACATGGTCGATTTCCCCAAGGGGGAAGTCACTCCATAGAAGCAAAGATACTTGAAAACTCTATTTAGAAATTACACACGGCCACAGTCCAGTGGCCACACAGGTGTGTCTCAGCAGGAGCTCTGTGTGATTTCTCGGGGTCGAATTGGGCACAAAAAGTCCTTTGCCTGCCCAACAGCTTCTACTGACATTTCGCTCTTTCTTTCAGTGAATTCTAGCATTTTAAATTTCCAATTCCACCGGGAAAATTCAGGAGACTTTGTTTCTAATGGTTAATAGAATGTGGAAAATACAACAAATTAAAGAAGATGAAAGAGGATCTGTAATCCTCCAGCTCAGTTAACCGCAGGCTCTAACCCCGTTTCCCTCATCCATCCACATTTGGGAATGTTGCCTTATGGCTTTGAATTTGAACCACTTTTTTAGGAAAAGCAAATTGTAGTCTAGTAGAAGGTGAAGGGAAATGGTGCCTTATTTTTTAAAAATTCTGCTTAAATTTTTTTAAAAGATAGGGTCTTGCTGTTGCCAGGGCTGGAGTGCAGTGACACAATCATGGATTGCTGCAGCCTTGACCTCCCAAGCTCAAGCTATCGTCCCACCTCTGCCTCCCAAGTAATTGGTACTGGCACGGCACCACCGTGCCCTGCTAAGTTACTTCTATTTTTTCTTTTGTAGAGACAGGGTCTCCCTATGTCGCCCAGGCTGGTCTCCAACTCCTGGGCTTAAGTGATCCTTCTCCCTACCTCGGCCTCCCAAAGTACCGGGACTACAGGCATGAACCACTGCGACTGGCCGGGCCTCACTCTTTTGTGCACATGTTATCTTACTATTGAACAGGAGCCCCTCCCCATTCATTTCTCTCCTGTTCATGTTCTTTGGCCATTTCTTCTCTCAAAGCCTTAGCGTTTTTCTTAGCAATTGTTGAATGAAGTTTTTGTAGAGGAAGAGTGAGGAGACAGCTTCTTGGTCAGTCAGTGAAAAAGGCAGGCATTAGTCACCACAGGGGCCAAAAATGTCCAAGGGCTAGCAGCATCCAGGGACTCCTGTGCCACCATGGGAGGGTCGAGGGCTGGGGCAGGTAATCTGCTCAAGTGGGTGACCCGTTGGGGACCATCACCTTTATGAATATCTTCTGAAAAGCACTGTGACCAGCTTGCTCTTTGCAGGGTAGGGCTCTTCATGATGTTTAATCTGCAGAGGTCTTTGAGTGTAAGCATTTAACACTCACCGTGAAAGACAGGTCCGCGGAGTCTCACTTTAAGATCCCTTCCACTGCTTCTGAGCTTTCAGGCTCTCCCCAGTCCAGAAATTAGAAGTGCATTCATCAAACGGTTCTATTTTAAAAATGATTTTCTGTTTCTTTAATACTTGTCTCTGCCGGGAATTGATTTTGGTGTATGTGAGGGGATATGAAATACTGTCTATTTGTTTTCTTTTCTTTTTCTGAGACAAAGTCTCGCTCTGTCACCCAGGCTGGAGTGCAGTGCTGTGATCTTGGCTCACTGCAACCTCTGCCTCCTGGGTTCAAGCGATTCTCAAGCTTCAGCCACCCCAGTAGCTGGGACTACAGGTGCGCACCACTGTGTCTGGCTAACTTTTTGTGATTTTAGTAGAGACAGGTTTTCGCCGGGTCCGATGCCAATAGATGGAAAACACGAACTTGAGTTGATCCTCAGTAGACCAAGAATATAGTCATCACATTGGAACAATCAACAGTTTCTTCTTCAAATTAACATGCTCAGAGCAGCGAGGCACAATTCATAGCCCCACGTTGGCACAGGAAACATTGGTTGGTTTCCCCTTCCTGAGGGCAAGGCGGGGGCGCCCACACCCTGCCTGCGCCTGCTCTGCACACTGTAGCTGGGGCTTTGCTATCTACTGACGACATCTGTGAGGGTTACAGAGAACCCGAGTGCATTTTGCTGGTCTTTCCAATGAAATACGATCAAGATTATGCTGAGAACATGGGTGACGAGAGGAGAAAGGAAAGAGCTTAGCGTTTTCACATTTCTGTTTTCCTCTTCGACTTGAGAGAGCCTCTCGGTGGTTACCTTACACCATGGAAACAGACGTGTTTGAATTCTCCCTGGTTCTTAAAAGGACAGAGCTGCCGTCTGGGGCTGCCTGGACAGCGTCCCTGGGTTTGTTTTCTGGGGAGGCCCTGACAGTCCCACCGCTGGACGGCTTCAACGACAGCCACAGTTTCTCTCACAGTCCTGGAGGCTGCAGGTCTGAGGTCAAGCCGCGGTTGGGGCTGGCTCCTCTTGAGGCCTCTCTCCTTGGCCTGCAGACAGACACCTTCTCCTTGTGTCCTCACAGGGCCGTCCCTCTGTGTGTGTCTGTGTCCTAACTTCTGCTAAGGACAAGGGCACACCTTAATGGCCTCAGTTGAACTGGGTCACATCTTTAAAGACCCTGTCTCCAAACAAGGTCACATTCTGAGGTCTTGGGAGTCGGGACCTCCGCACGTGGATGTCGGTGGGATGCTGTTCAGCTCCCGATCGTGCCTTTCTTATGTCTGAGGTACCGCTGTAAACTTGCTCTGAGGTTTTTCAAGTAACCCACTGCCTCTGCCTTCAGTGTGGGGAGTGTCCTCGTCTTGACTGGCGCATGGCGCGTGTTCTCCTGAGCCCTCCCTCTCAGGCCCCGCTGTTCTTTGTCCTACAGCGGGGCTCCCTCTGCTCTCCTATGCAGAGGGTCAGAACTGCTGCAGTTGGTGAATGCCATCCCCCAGCACCAGTCCCTCCAGGCCACCTCTGATCTTCTTCAAAGCGGTGGACACACATCACAGTGTGATTTGGTGGTAGATAGGTCCGAAGAATCCCAGCACCATCCGGCAAGGAGGCTGGGGTCGTTAGAGTGGTGACGGATGATTGATATGCTAACTGCCAAGTACTACCCATGGCATCGGAGCTGCAGACTCTTACCTGGAAAGGTGCCCTCTTTATGGGCAGGGGGATTCCTTCTGGTGCACCTGCAGGTCTGTTTCCAGGCGCTGTAATGGGTCACGAAAGTGTGAGTCCTGACCCAGGCTGGTACTCCTACCAAACATCTGAACAGGTATCTGTAGGTATTTACCAAACATCTGAACAGCTGTCTGTCAGCCCGTGGGTCAGTTGGCCTTTGGAGGTTGCTGTCCGACCACATTTTCCACTAACAAATACCTTAGAGATGAGTGGAGACGTTCAAGGACCATTTATTTTCTGATTTTAAAAGTTTTATATGTTTAATAAGGACTTTAAGCAGTTTGAAAAGATTTATCCAGCTCAGTGGAATCCAGCAGCTCCCATCATATGCCTCACTGGCCCACACGCAAAGGTCACTGCTCGTCAGGCTGTCTTGCTGCTCCCCCAGCCACGAGAAGGGTGCTCCCAAAGCAGGACCAATCAGACACCCGCAGCACCTGGCCCGGTGCTTACGTCCTCCTTTCATCACACTTTTTGTTAATATTGATTCATTCTCTCTCTTTTTTTTTTTTTCTGAGATGGAGTCTCTCTCTGTCACCCAGTCCGGAGTGCAGTGGTGTGATCTTGGCTCACTGAAACCTCCGCCTCCCGGGTTCAAGCGATTCTCCTGCCTCAGCCTCCCGAGTAGCTGGGACTACAGGCAACTGCCACCACACCCGGCTAAATTTT